TTGGTCTGAGGAGCTGATTAGTCTTTTTTGGAAAGAATGTCGCTGAATATAATTCTTTGGAAAGACAAGAAGCTTTGCTTGGCTTGTGATGTGGCAATTTGACGTTGTTGTGTGGAGTACTCTTACAAGGTGCGCGGGGGCTGGTTAGGGAAGGTGCACTTCGCCCGAAGTGAAGAATATGTCCTGGTCAGTCAAGAAGGAAGGAAAGTTGTCATGGAAGTGGCTTCCTGGTTTTGTTGTAAGCACTGGATTCGCCACATCTTGACTTTCTCTTTTCGCTTGTTCTGTTCTGCTGAAGCACTGCCAGATCTCCTGCAATCTGAACATCGCTTCCTCAGCGCATGTACGTCACTTTGCTGTGTGTGGGTGAACTTTGCAATTCAGACACAAAAGAATGCTAGTATAATCAGCCACGTTGGGCTCTGCTGTTGAGGGAAGAATTATGATGATTGCCTACGATCTGCGCATATGAGATGGTCTCGTTGCAATACACCATGCATGGCCAGTGCGGGGCTTTCATAGCATACAATTGTTTGTGAGTGACTGGCCTTGTCAATATGTTCGGCGCGCAATTATATCCGTACCAACGAGAGTGCAGCCTCTAGTACGCTAGCGAGGATGGAGGTCAGCATACTAACTTACTGCAACATACTGACATACTAAATCGTATCTACTCGGTTGACAACCTAAGGTCTTGAATCTGGCTGCATGAATGCAAAGCCTCTGGGTGCAGTCCAAAAGTAGTACTAAGCTCCATGCCTTTCATGGGTACGGGTTTTTTGAGAAGCCTAGTCAACATGACACCGAGTCAAGTATCTTAATCTGCTCCGCCTATCCTCGGCAGAAAGGGCCCCATGCAGGCCCTCAGGTGTAGAAGAGAAGGCTCTCTACTGCTGCACGTACTCGTTTGTGTCCCTGGCAAGGCGCTCTGGGATAGACATCTGGGGAGGAGTGTGAAAAGGCACCATCTGAATGTGCAACGGGCTTGACGGGTGAAGGCTGCGATCAGAATCAAAAGACAGTAAAAGAGAATATCGGGCACATTCTTGTGTGTAGAAAGCTTCAGAGTGGACAATGAGAATCTCGTTCGAGATGCATCATGTTTTAGCTCTCAGACGCAGTTGTTGCCATCAACACTTTGCTTCGCTTTCAAACGTTGAGAACGGAGCGGTGACAGGGCTGTCAATGCGCTTCGAGCAAGCAACTTAATGCCTATCATAAAATAAGCGGTGGGTATACCAAAAGCACCGGTCATTCCAAGAAAGTGCTAAGTGATCAATTGTTGCCTCCACACTCTGCAAGACAAGCTTCAACGCTATCCCGCGTTCCAGATCTGAAGCGCACTCATACCTTGTCCGAACGTGCACTCATAACTTGGTGTGGGTGTGCACTCATAACACTGAAAACCTGGTGTGAACGTGCACTCATGACCTGGTGTGAACGTGCCCCGCCTATGGCCACTCACCACTTTAACGTTGCACAGCGCAGTCAGCCATCTCGTCCCCGCCTGACAGCATCCAACACGCCACCGTCGCCTTCGCCCTCGGCACTTCTGAGGCGTGCTCCAGCAGGCCATCAGAGTGGGGATAAGCGCCCGCTCCTCCGATAAGAGTTGCGCCTGCAGTCTGGTGGGGCCAATTTTCACCACCCCCTGCAATAACCGCGAAGTTTAGAAGCTATGAGGATCTAAGGGCTATAAGAAAGTCCCCGGGACAACTCCGAAAGCCCGAGTAACCTGCTTTCTTTTTGGGCAGTGATCGATCCCAAACCCCAAACCCCAAACCCCGCTCTAATCCATACCCACCCTAACCTCCTTCTTTCCACCCACCGGTCCCTACTTAACGCTCTTGCATCCTTATAGCCTTCAAAGTCAATCCCTATTACCTGCAAGCCCATGTTTAGCAGGTTGAGGTACGTCTGCTGCGTCTTGGAGCTGCCTTCGCCCAAACCGTGCACGAACGTTCGCGCGCCTAAGCGCTCTAGGAGGGAAGGGACAATGAGCGGCTGGACACGCGCCAGGCGGACAGGCGGACGAGGCAGGAGCCTGCAGTCGCACGCAGATGCTCCAGTTTGCTGTTCTGCAATGTAAAAGAGAGGTGTGTTAGTGGAGGGACTCTATGAGTTGCATATGTACGGGCCTGGAGGTCTGCAATGGAAGAGAGAGATGTGTGTTAGTGGAGGAATCTCATAAGTTGCAGATGCTCCGGCTTGCTCTTCTGCAACGTGAGAAAGAGGTGTGAATTAATGGAGGAAGTTTTCAAGTGGCAGATGCACGGGCTTGGAGGTCTGCAGTGTGAGAGAGGGGTGTAAGTAGATTAGTGAAAAAAGCTTCTTAGCTTGACTGGCATGGTTTACGAAAGCTGTCTTCCAGTGACATTGATGTTCTAGAAGCCCCTCAAGCTCAGGATGCAGAGAGTCTTCCAACACTTTGGATGTCACCTTCAGGAAATCTCAATCTTGACGGCTAGAATTGGCAGTCAGAAACCTTTGCCCTATCGAGTGTCCGCGAACGGCCCTCCGCACTCTCCTCGAAAGGTCTGCACTCCTATTTGCAAGCGAGGTTGTTAACGATCAAAGAGCTCAGGACTCAGCGACAACCCGTCTTGGTCTTGATTTGGAAACGGGAAGACAACCTCTTCTTCACAAAAGATAACCTCTCTTCCGCCCTAGAGACGTCACGATTCATTAAGTCGCACCAATCCGTGTCGAAACTGCACGTAGCTCCCCAGAGGACCACATAAAACCCGAGACCCTGCTCGCTTCTTACCTGGAAGATGAACACCAAGTTCGAACGCAATAATCTCCCCCCCCGCAAATTTGGCTGCCCAAGTGCCCCCCTGACTCGCCACGTTTTCGATGGTCTTCACTGCATAATGCTGCGCAACTTCATCTTCTCCTCGCCTCAGCAAACTGCCAACAGCTGCAAAAGTGACGTCAGGAACCTCCCTCACGAGCGGAGCGTTGGCGGGGCGCGGAGACTGCTCGCTTTGCGTGGCGATGTAAAAGAGCAATTCTCCAAGAGAGGCGACGGCCCTTCGCCTGACGCGCTCCTGCGTGGAGATAAAACCTCACATTTCGTAGCCAATTGGATTATTCTCAGAGCGGGAGTTTAAATGTCCACTTCAAGTTTGTTTCTGCTGAAGATGTGATGCAAAATTGCAAGACGTCAGAGTCCTTAAGAGATGTGGAGGAGCACTTTCGACTCAAAATGGGAACCAATGTGATGTTGGGGGGCCAGAAAGACTGCTCACATGCAGCAAAGCAACGCACTCAGAAGCGCAAGCGGCCCTCGAAGGAGAGTTCGCAGGGGTACACAAGTGTCACGTGATAGTTACCCCGACTTCTCAGCCTGAAAGCGGGGCATCCCAGAGGAGTAAAGAATGGACGGGCCAGAAGGACTGCTTGTTAAGGGTCACCGTATTCACTCGAGCAGCTCATTCACGAAAGCATATGCCCTCCTCTGTACTCTGCTCGTTGATGAACGGTCGAAGATTCGTCCTGTGAACGACTGCAAACCACTTAGTTGAGAGGCAATCATTGTCTTTCTCTTGCAGCAGACTCAGTGGCAAAATCCCTGCTCCCACAGCAATTGGTGAAACAGGACAGTGTCCATTGCGTCCCTTTCTTCGAAACTCTGTCGCAGATAGAGCTCAACGACGGGGCAGTCAATTTGCCCTGACTCATCTTTAACATATAAGCTTCTCAACCAATGCCAATTGACTGGCGCCTACACTGGGACGCCGATCTGGGGGCCAATTGACTGCCCCTCTTTCTGTGGGTTGGAGCTGAGGAAGCGCTCCTCTGAAAGAGGGGCAATCAATTGGCCCCAGCCATTCTTGACATCTAGCATCTGAAGCAATGCAGAGTGACTGCCCCTTGACAGCTCCGCAGCACACGAAAGAGGTCAACTGAAACGGGTCTCACCTCCTCTGCACTCGTGGCTGCCCCTGCCTCGACCATCCTCCCAGGGGCGTCGCCTCAAAGAGGCCTCCTTCTTTCTGCAGCCTCTTTGACCTCTGCTCTCAGGCCTGGAACCTCATCATGGTAAATAGCTGGTCTGCAAGCTCGCAACCTAAGAAGAAGCCATGATTCTGCATGCAAGTGGCGCCAACGCCTGCCGCCTTGCCTAGAAGTCTCTGGAAACTTCCCCAGCTGACAAGGATGCTTGGCCAACTGGCATTCATGCAGGCCGTCAGTAGGCCGCCATAGAGGGCCATGGTCACGCCAAGGTCCGCCATTGCCAGCTCAGCTTTTTCCCTTCAATTGCAACTTGCCATTCTGTCTCTCAATGTCTCATTCCAATCTCCCTGACGAGCTAGAATCTAGGCTGGGACTTCAAGTCAAGCTAGGGGAGTGCGGCGGAAATGGTTTGCCACCGCGCGTTAATGGTCGGGCTTAAGGCCTTATGGTACAGCCAGGTCCTTATGGGTCATCGCGTATGAACCGGGGGCGTGTGCCCGGGGGAGTTGGGTGGGAATGCAAGGTCGCGCCAACCGAACTGAACTTCCGACGCTATACTAAGCCGCGTCCGAACCGCGCGGCCGCGCGGGTTTATAGGCCGGGCGCGGCACGGCCGCGGCTGCGGGGGTATCATTAGCATGGACGCGGCCCGCGCGTGTGGCGGCGGCCCTGCATGAGTCTGAGACATTGCGAGATTGAACACGAGAAGTCAAGGGCCAATCAAAGCTTAGCTGGGTGCGGCTGTACGTTCTCCCGGATCCGCATTGGCACTGTGACTCGTAAGCTGTGTAAATTAGTTGCTACTTAGGCTGCATTGATTGACCGTACTTCAATGTCACAAGCAAGAGCACCGGTGTTTCATGTTTCAATGGCACGACCAGTGATCATAGGCATGAGTATACGAAGAAACATTAGTGCACTTGGTATGCGTGAATAACGCACAGAAAGAAAGTGTGAATGAAGATTTAGACCGTTGAAGTTACGCCTGTCATGCAAATCGACCTGAACAGTATCCCATAAGGCTGTCAAAGATACTGACAAAGATCATCGATCATCGACGTTGACACTACAATTTCAGAGAGTACTTTGCGTCGATGCGTTCTGCATGTTCGGCGGTGTTCCATCCTGCTGGGCCTCTCGTTGCTTGGCCTCCAGTGAACAGGTCAAGGGTCCAACTTCAGTGACAAGTAGACCCGACATCTTCAATACACAACAGGCCATCCACACTTATTGATTATAGCAAGTGAGCTACAAGCTGGAAGATAATCATCTCCCGATATCTATTGAAAGTCTCAAAATCGTCCACACTCTATCAAAACCTTGTAGAAATTGCAGACCCTAAAATTAGGGTTTGATTTTCTCAATTGCCTCCGCTAGTTGTACAACGACGTTCTCATTTCCATCTCTTACACCCACCAGGACAGATTGCACAAAACCAGTGAACAGACCTGCGACATCCGGAAAGAGGGATGTCGATAACATTCTTTAAAAATGACTCCTTCAGCAAAGTCACTCATACTTCAAGGAACAACCAGAAACGAATTTTGAGAACTACTATAGTCTCCGCATTAGCACCGGCTTGGTTCGAACCGTGCAGATCAGAATGTTCAAACACAAATCTAGCTGGCACAATTTCACAAAATCCAAATACTTGTGTGCCATAAGAAGCCTATGGCCGAACTGGCTACGGAGTGATCGAAAGAGAGCATCGTCTTTGCAGACAGTCAAGCGTGACGGGTTAGTCCAATTGATCCTATGGGGTGTTGCACAACTTGGACAGCCTAATAAAGCTTCTCACCGTTTTCCACGACTCCAGGGATGTTGTTGATCTCCTTCTCAAGTGCAGCCGCATCCTTGATGCCGTTTGGGAACCTGTCCAGTGAATATCACAGTACTTCAGTGCCTTGCATATACTGAGAAGCCGAGCTCGTCTCACCAAGAAAGGCGCACCTATGTGCACCACGAAAGACAAACGCCGATATAAATTGCACGTTGAAGAGAATAGGATATCCGAAAGGGAGGCTGTGTGACCCTCACCGAACATCGACAATGAAGTTGCCCAGGTCGGTCACGATAGGCCCGTCTTTCCTCAAAGCACTCCGAATCTCGGGCTCTGCAACATAATGTACGGGCCAAACACGTTGGCAACTTTTAAGGGCAGAGCAGAGAGCGAAGCAGGCAAGAACAATCTTCTGTAGCGTAGTAACAATGGACGTCCCCCTGGGCAACATCCTTAATAAGTGCAGTTTCGTGTGGCTGCTGTTTAAACGCGAAAAGCGTAGCACAGCTTTTGATCCAAGCTGCAATTGCCAGACTCTGCAATGGTCCGAAACCGAAGGCTTTAACGATGTTAACTGGCGCTGATATCCCCAAGAAAGCATGCTCCACACAAGAGTGCAGACGGGCACTTACCTCCACCGAGAGCCAACAGGGACCTGAGGACGGGCGTAATAGCAGGCTGAAGAACTTCCACCTGCAGGAAGAGCGAGCAGAGATGAAGCCGATACTTGGTCTTTGAACATGCGAACTTGCAAACGAACGTGGTGCTTCGCATCCTCTGCGCTTTGAAGAAATCAATTCATTCCACCTCTACCATTCTAAGCTCATACATGATACGGGTGATCTAACAGCTGCGATGGCACAACAAGACTCTTGATTGGAGCATGGTGGACGAACCAATGTGGCAGCAAAGTGCAAGGGCGAAGCTTATTGTAGCGAGCAATGATGGGTGTGAAAAGCTGAGTCGAACGTTGGTCCCCTTGAGCTCTCCTGAACTCGTCAACGTAAGCCACGTAATTCATCCTCCTTGAGGAGAAGCAAACCAGATTGCCTTGCACAATCTCTATCCGGCATTGTGCTAGGGATGTGCTCGAAAAAACATGGTCTACATCTCATGCAGAATAAAATACAATGGACACTTTGGAACTCAACTTGATGCTCCAACAGATCGGCTCAGCAATGCTCCCTAAAACTTACGGCTACGGGGAACACCAGGCCCAGCTGTGAGACCACCTTCGTCTGATCGACCAAGATGACCGCCTTCTTTGCCAACTTGTCGACCACCTTCTCCATAGTGTGGGCGGCACCACCTCCCTGCACACCAAGCCAACGACCATCATCAATATTCACACAATGCAAGCCAAACATATATGTCCGAGGAAGCGTGACACTAATTAAAAGCAAAGACACGAATAGCTCGAGTTCGAAACAGCAGCTCTTTGATTGTCGGGCAGACTCGGATGGCTCAGACTCGGATGGCTCAGCTCCAAACCCGTTATCTATCTTTGTCCATCCAGCCCAAATATACCACCTCGCGCACACATGTTAGACAGACATACCTTGATCAGGTTCATCTGGCTGTCCACCTCATCGGCCCCATCAAAAGCGACATCGATCCTGTTCACCTCGTTCAAACTCAACTGCAGAGGAAAGTCGATTCCAGCATTGGCGGCAACCCCGGCCATTCTTGCAGACCTGTTGCATCAGACGAACAAGGAGTATGTTCCACAAAACATGCAACAAGCTTCAAGCCCCGATGCAAGTCGTCCCATCATGGGCAAAACCAGACCACCAACCTTACCGTTTTGATCCCGGCCTGCCGTGAAAGAACTTTGGCCTGATAGCTGGTGGCGACACCATAGACGTCCTTCAACTGCCATGTCAATCACAAGTCAAGATACAGAGTTGATGACTAGGAGGAAAGAAGTGGAAGAGCGCAAGCACAGGTAAGCGAACATGGAATTCGATTGCAGTAGCTGTGAAGGTGCTTCAACCACAAAGACAACGTGCGGAGAAGCTCCAACGGACCTCATCAATCAAATACTAACAAGGCATAAAGAAAACAAGGCACTGAGTATGCCACAAAGGGTGATGATAAAAAGATAGTCTTATAATTGCGTAGCTTACCTTCCCCTTGGAGATCAACTGTCCTAGCTCCTCAATGAAAAGCGCGGATGTACTGCCAGTTCCCAGGCCGACAATCTGCCCAGACTGCAGCATAAGGGAGAAACACTACTTAGACAGGCTTGGATCCATGGAAATGCCTCAATAACCCAGGTTTAGCTGCCCCGGAAGGACAACGTGCAATTCTGAAGCGCACCCTGAGATGGATTTGCATCCCCTTATGCTTCTCTGCAACACAAGCACTTGCATCAGACTGCCTGGAGTTGCTGAAATGAACCTTCGCTTTCGAATATAAGGTCAGCAATCGGATATGAGGCTAGAGAAAAGAAGCTCTTCGCCCTGCTGAAAACATACCTGCACCATCTCAACTGCCTTCTTGGCAACAGCACGCTTCAAGTCCTCCTGAACCTCAGGATCAAGTGCTGCAAACGATGAGAGAAAAGGTACATATGATCATTATGGCTGCAAGCGCAGCTTATTGCCTTTGGTCACTGAGGCGGATGATGCCAACGAAGGTTTGATGTTAGAAGGCACCAACGAGGATGGAACTTTGAGGACGCACAAGAGAGCAGGCCATCTGCCGTTTCACACTTGGGCAAAAGGGAGACTTTCAAAATGATCTTGTGAAGGTCCATTTTCTATACGTGCAAACACATCTCAAAGCTAACCTTTTGTGAAAATGAAACAAGCACAAATTGCCAATTATGCAGACCGCTGAGAGAAGAATCAAAGCAGCTGCTCTGTGATCTACAATGTTGGGGTGCTAAAGGTGCTTTTCTGGTAATAGTGGTCAAGCCCTTGCTGAGCAGAGCAATTTGCTTGTCGAAATTGTAAAAGAGATCACGCCTGCCGTTGCGAAAACAAACTGCATGTGAAAGGGTGCCTCTTTGCAGGCAGTAGGGTAGTATGTATCATATCGATGCACACCACCCTTGCCATCGTATCAAGTGGGATTGCAGCAATTGGATACAAAGGCGTGCAAACTGACCACCCCGGATTCCTGCAAGCTCAAAAGTGCAGATTGATCGACCAAAGGAGAGTCATATGTCGCAAGATCTCGATTGCAGCGTACTGAAGAGATCCACACATCAGCACATACCTTGAGAGCTAGAAGGAGCGCCGCTTGCAACGGTCATGCTGATGCCACATGGCTTGCTTAATCGCTCCAATCCTGGGAAAATCTGCCTTTGACGCAACTGGACGGGAACACATTTGGGGCCCATCAACTGTTTTCCCTGAAAGCTACCAGATTGCAGTGTCGGCATGCCCCGCACGCTGGACAATCTCATTTGAACTTGAGAGAGAGCCATGATGCGTCCGACAAGAAAACGTTCAAAGAACCAGGAGAGGGGCGATCGCGCTAGCTCACAATTGTCCTCTCACAAAGCGCACCAGAGACAAGCACGAGATTCCAGAAAGGGAATAAGGAAAACTGCTGATTGGGCAAGGACTCGGAGCAAACCTGCACATGCAGGCATGAGTTTAAATAATGTAATGTGAAGGGTTACATGAAAACCGTACCTCAAATCTCCTTCACCCGGTTCGCCCTCCTCAAGCGCAGCCCGGGGCAAGCAGCCGGAGGATCCGGAGAGCAGAAGCCCGGCCCGGCCGACTATCTACACGGCCTTGTCCCGACTGGTCTCACTGACCACCTATCATACGGTTAACAAGTAATACCACCTATCCTACGGTTAGAACTTCTCGGGTCAATCTCCAACCAGACCAAGAGGCAAAGTCTACTGTACCAGCATGATGACCCCTTGTTTGACATGGCATTGGTGGAGTGGCGGCCATGGTCATTGGTGATGCTCACACTTATCTTCCAAGTTGTGCAGATGGCTACAGCTCCATGGTTCAGCCGAGAAGCGTTCAGCATAAGTATTGATTGCAGCATATGAGGTGCTGCCTGTAGGACCAAGCCAAATTGGGGGAGTATGGAGCTGGCGCCCCCGGCTGCTTTGTCTGCGGGCACTGTCTCTGCAGGGAGCTCCTCGACTCTCTTGCTGACGGCACTTGTGTTCCTCGTTTTTGCTATCCTGCTTGCAGTCCTTCTGCGGCACCAGCGACAGTCCAATTCTAGTCTGCTCGCTGCGCACCACCTGAGGCGGCAGTCAGCCCAATTCCGAGGGGTGGGGACGGCCCATTGCTGGCAAGAGGAGCCGTCATACCGCCTTATCAGCCGTTGCTGCGTCTGCCTGGAAACATGCCTTCAGGCCCCGGTGGTTGCTGTGACTTCCATCCGGGGCGTGGAGCGGTGCCAGGTGTGTGGAATCAGCGTGCACCAGGAGTGTCTACGCAGGGCGTCCCGTGACTGCAAGCCGGTCTCGCTGCCTGCGGATCAGCCATTGCAGCACCACTGGATCGATGGGGACAGCATAGTGGAGGACCTGCCGGCGGACGAGGGGGATGGGTGCATGTTCTGTGAGGAGCCGTGCAGCGCCAATTTCCTGGGGGCGGGGACGGTGTCACTCTGTGTCTGGTGCCAGCGTAAAGTCCACAATGATTGCCTTACGGAGTCGCCAAAGGAAGGGGAGGGCAAGGTGTGTGACCTGGGGGACCACCGCCGGCTGATCATTCCCCCCGGCTGTGTCAGCAGCACAGGGCACACAGTCACTGCACTGCTTGAGGCAGTTTTGGGGAGCGGGACAATCCGGAATAGGAGGAAGACACCCAAGGGGCAGAAGAAGGGGCTAACTCACAACGGGGCGTTTGGGAGTGTCGCTGACTTTCGGCGCAAGGAAGCCGAGAGAGTGGCTGTCAATGGGGGGGACACCAAGGCTGCAAACCCGAAACACACAATCGGAGAATTGCCCCAGGACTGTCGGCCTCTGCTGGTGTTTGTGAACAAGCGGTCAGGAGCACAGCATGGAGCTCACCTCAGGCGGCGCTTCAGCCGCCTCCTAAACCCCCTCCAGGTGAGAGCAAGGGTGCGCACCTTCTGCCTTCTTCTGTAAGAAAATCCGGCATACATGTGCTTGCCGTATTTTCAAGCCCCTCAGCCGTCTGCGCAGGAAGGTCTTGACTCTACGCTGTCCCTAGACAGCATGATTTCTGGAACGAACTGCACCTCTCATCATAGATGTATCATGAACTGTGAGCTTCTGGTCTTTGGAGATTGTAGTACGTCTGAATGCATGGAAGCATGGGGCCAGTTTGACTGTGCACCTGATCTCTGTTCCCTTTGGTGCAGGTTTGGGAGCTCAGTGCAGAGCAGGGCCCGGAAGTGGGGCTTAAATTGTTCGAGAATGTGAAGCACTTTTCTGTACTGGTGTGTGGGGGAGACGGAACAGGTGAGCTCTGCGGCGGATCACCATAGGTTTTGGGCTCTCGCTTTCCCAACCCTCTCTGCACTATTCTGACATGCCGATGGACACCAGAGAAGCCTTCACCTCCATCTGCATGTTTGGAGCCTTGTTGCACCAGAATTGTGCTCTGGTTTTATGAAAGAGAAACATGCTCATCTGGTTAAGGTTGTGGCTGCAGTGGGCTGGGTGATGGACGCAATCGAGAGTAAGCAGTACGAGTTCCCGCCACCCATCGCAGTGTGTCCCCTGGGCACCGGCAATGACCTGGCGCGTGTGCTCAATTGGGGGGGCGGCTACGGCGCCATCAAGGTCCCTGGGGGCTTGCACACCCTGCTCCAGGACCTGCTGGACCGCGCCGCGTTTTGCCTGCTTGACAGGTGGCAGCTCACCATTCGGGAGCCTCCGGAGGGGAAGGAGAGCGGGCCGGGCCGGGTGGTAGCAACGAAGTACATGAACAATTACATGGGGGTGGGCTGTGACGCAAAGATCGCGCTTGACGTGCACAGCCTGCGCGAAGAGTCACCAGAGCTGTTTTACAGCCAGGTGAGTAAAGGTTCTATGAGCGACAACACTGAGTCGCCTCTCAAGTAACTCAATCCTGTCGAATGAGATCAAATGCGATTTGTTTGGTCGTCTCTTTTGTCTCGCCTTTGACCTCGGTCATCGTTTGAGCAAGCCCAGACACAACTTACAAACGCTTATATCTTCCACGCACCGCCAAACGACCACGTTAAGTACTGCCGATTTAGCTCCATGTGCTTGCTGGCCTCACGAGGCCTGTTTTATCTACATTCTGCCTCGTTTGTGCGGCCATCTGACCTTTCCAAGAGCATCGCGGGCGCCCCTCTCAGTCGTCGTCCCCTGGCGTTCCTGCAGTTGGTGAACAAGTTCTGGTACACCAAGGAGGGCGCCAAGACGTTCCTGGAGCAGAGCTGCGCCGACCTGCCGTGGGACCTGCACGTGGAGCTGGACGGGCAGCCCCTCGACATTCCAGACGGCGTGGAAGGCCTGGTGCTGCTCAACATCCCTAGCTTCATGGGCGGGGTGGACCTGTGGCAGAGCCAGGAGGAGCACGAGGACCCTCTCGCGCCGCAGGCCATGCACGACAAGGTCATCGAGGTCGTCGGCATCTACAGCGTCCTGCACCTCGGCAGGCTGCAGGCGAGTGCCACTGCACCAGACGCGGTTGTCGAGCAGCTTCAAGCATGTGCTTAAGGTCGTGCTGCATCGCAAGATTCAATAGCACCACCCCCCCCTGTACGCACTCTTTGAAAAGAGTAGCAATTTAATTCGAAATTATACAAATCAAACTATGCTTATTTGTAGCCCTCTAGAGCAATTTGCTATTGTGCCGTTGATTCCTATATGGATAGGCAACTCTATCTCTCTTTTACAAACCTTTCTTTTTTTATGCTATTAGCGATAAGCCTTGCTTTGCTTCAAATCGCTGCCCGATATTCCGCTTGTAGTTGACAACTCGAAGACGCAACAAGGCAATTGCTTCAACTGATGCACGATCGATTGCTGTTCCTACGCTTCATCAGTAAAGCCCTGAACGGTTTTACATCTGCAAGTTCGTAGCTTGTCAGCTACACTTCTTGTCGTCGTGCGGCCCTCGGGCGTATACTCGCCACTTATATCTCCTTGCTACTGTCTGGCTGCAGATTGGGCTGAGCCGCGCTCTACGGCTGGGCCAGGCACGTCGTGTGCGGCTGCGCACGAGCGCGGCTCTGCCGTTCCAGGTGGACGGGGAGCCGTGGCTGCAGGCCGGTCCCGCGTGCATCGAAGTGACGCACCACAGCCAGGCCTTCATGCTGCGGCGCAGTGCAGAAGAGGCGGGCGGGTGCACGCCGGCCATTGTGCAGGACGTGCTGGAGGCAGCGGAGAGCCGGGGGATCATCCACGGGGGACAGAGGAAGCAGCTGCTGCAGGACCTGGCGTTGCGGTTGCACCACTGAAAAGGAAGAGGGGGGGAATGTGGGGCATGGCTGGCCTCATCAAGTCGCAGTTGCCTTGAGGGCATTGTGGATGTCTGGGGATCTCGTACGTTCGTTACACGGTGAGTTTGGAGACTAAGCAGATAGGTATACATACGATTGAGCCAATACTAGAATCACTAGGCAAGATACGCAGTGCTACTCTATACATAGAGAACATTGATCAAGCACGCATAGTATAGACGTGTTCTTGTCAGGACTGCTGCAGGATATCAGATATCCAACGATTCACTGTCGTGGATAATGCTGTCGAGAAGTGTCTGTACAATTTAGAAAAACGGCCAGTGAATAGTCAGTAGGTAGTCAGCAGCTGTAGCACTTTGGTCTGAAATGTAGCAAAGCATAAGACTGGAAACGAGTATATAGCAGAACTTGACCTGTATCAGAGTGAAGAATAATGGACCTAGTGTGAAAGAGGTTGTTGCTTAAGCGTCACGCGTTCATCGAAGACCGTCTAATAGACTTAAGAGTCATGAGTTAGCAAATATGCAAGAGTTGTTGCTTAAGAGTCGTCCAATCCGCGTGGTCATTCAGTTGCACTGTCCGGCGACTTAAGGATGTATAACGATAGAGGCTGTATGCGATTCGCAGATGTGCGCGGTGCTCTGAGCTGTCGCGCCCGGGTTTATCAATCGGTTTGCACGCCAATGCAGGCCGTTAAACAAGAGGCACGTACGTGGCTAAGGCACAGGACCTGATCGGATATATCGCGGTATGAAGTATAAACATGCATATAGCGGCCATGTGCAACGCCAGCTATAGAAAACATGTGGCCACGTGACGCGTACTACTATGTATCTGACCATACATATGGGACGTGGCTGCTCCCTGCAATGCTCTGCCCGCGTGTGCGCTCGTACGTTTAGGCACGTAAGGCCGGGGCCTTAGCCTGCAGAATGGATCTGACATGCAGGCATCTCGAGGATCAGCATGCAGAACCTGACGATGGCGGCACTCTATAAAATGTGGCCCGCGGACATGTGCACAACGAGATTGGTAGTCCACCGTCAGAACTTGCTTCTGTTTGGCAAAAACGACATTCTGTATTTTTGACTAATCAATATTCAGGCCAAGAAGGCGCAGGGCACCCCTACTAATGATATCTACATTTCCTTTGCAGCGGCATGATGCCTTTCTTTGACTACAATGCTTTCGCCGTTTGGCGTGGCGAGTCCGTATTTGCATCAAGAGCACTAGAAATATTGTCGTTTTCATGATTCGTTATGTACACAAAGATCCTGGTGAGTCGGCGTGCCCTAAAGCAAGCCAAGCTGTTTTAATTGTTGGACATGCTCAGCAGTAAGAGGCGGCAATGTCTCGCCGGCGGCATGCCCCTCGTCCAGGTCTTCCACCACGTACTCCTGCACGGGAAGGGGTCGAGGCCAGGCTCAGCATCTGAAGAACTCATGGAAATGATTTGAATACGAACAGGAACAAACCCCGACAGCAAGCTGAACCCAGTGTCTCAATAAAGCTCTGGCCTTACAAGCAGAAACGCATGAGCACGGAATCCAGGAACATCGAAATCAAAAGTCCTCAGATTGAGGTCAGTCAACGTTCCGCATCGCTGGCGAACCGACTGATGTGCTTCAACAGCGCCGTCTGTATCTGCAGTAGACGTCATCAGCCGATTAGCAGCACGCAGCAGCCCTTGTGTCTGTATCTTTCCATTGCCGCGTTGATCCGATTGGTCCGCTTTTTTGCCTCTTCAATTTGCCTACCTTTGCAAGCAACCTCTTGGCCAGCACGTGGTAGTGCTTCTGCCACACCCGCTGCACCACCACAGTCGCTACAAAGAAGCTGTAAAACACCCCGGCCTGCGAGGAGAGGGACGGAGGAAATGTCAAAACGCACCGGCAGCGTAGGGTGGCGAGATCGGCAGAGCACTTCAGATCCCAAAAGCCTCACTTCGACCAGTACAACATTCCCAACAACAGGCTGAAAAACGTCTGTGATGATGTACGTGAGAGCCAAGCCTTACAGAGGGCGTATGACAGGGGTGGCCCGAACCGTCGGCACCGGTCACGCAGAAGCAGAGATATTGGGCTCGGCAAATTCCACCGCCATTTGGGCCTGTTTGCGACACAAGCGCAGAGGGGTAACTATACAGTCGCCATGTGACGTCAGGGGCACCGTTCACCCAACGTCCTAGTAAAGTTACAGCAAGCCGCACAAGAAAGTGCAACACGGCAACAAGACAGCAACACAGGCCCGCACCACTGCAAAGAGCATGACGACCACGACCGCCAGCACGAGCAGCAGGGGCGCGCCCTCCGCGCCTAGCCCCGCGCACGAGCCACACTCCGCCAAGCCCTGGCAGTCCGTCCAGAGGCACACGTTGGGCAGGACGTGGCAGTCGCAGGGACAGCCATTGCGGCAGTCGGGCAAATGGCCCCGCTCGCTGCCGCACAGGCTGTAGCAGCAGCCAAAGAGGCCGAGGAGACTGAAGAAGAGGCCCGCACCTGGAGGCATGAAGGGGAGACACATCAGGCGCCGCAGACGGGGGCACAGGGAAGGATGGCCATGCTGCAGGAGTGACAAGCAAATGGAGGAGTGACACCCGCACAAGACTCTGCACATGCACGATCTTAAAACGGAGACTTGACAGCCGCCAGACACCACAATACAGCGGCGAAATAGCACACAGAAGTGCAGCAGTTTCTGAAAAGGGAGACTAGACGAGCAGAGATATCAGAGTGTGAGAAAGAGACGAATATAGAGATGTGGGAGAGAAAAGGACTCGCATGGGCTTATGCCCACAATGGCTCACCACAGCAGTAGTAGAAGGGGGCTGCAGGCTTGTCACTCCAGAACGCTTTCTGAAGGGAGCTTCCCCCTAATAGGTCCAGGCCATAAATCATGTAGGCAAGGGCGATGATGCCCTGGCAAACAAAAACAGGGGTCAGCACTTGGAATCTAGACTAGACTGGACAGCCAGCCAGAAAGGAACTTGCGACAGGTATGTAACACAAGAAGCAGCTTCGGGGCTTCTCAAAAATGTCACTTTCATCAGGCGCACCCTTTTTTTCTTCTTGTGGGAGCACTTTAAAACTGCGTCAACAGCCATGCCAAAGTTAGCTGGGTGACCTCTGTCCAGGCAGACAAGCAAGGGCACTTTGTGCACGTACAGCTGTCACTCGCACTCAATCTCCTCAGTGATGATGCGCCCAGGGCTCACCAGCTGCACCACTGTACATATCAGCAGAATGTCCCGCGTCACAAAGAACCTGAACTTGATAACGCGCCACCGCCGGTCCTCCGGGATGTGGACCCGCAGCTTGTAGGGCGACTTGCACTCCGTGCAGTGCGCAAACGCAAAGCCCTCCTTCATGGCACGCCACTGGTCTGCAGGGGCACGCAGGGGGCAATTTGAGTAACGCTGGGCCAGGCGCCCCTCCCACTCTACATTGACAGCATTGTAACAGTGGTCATCTCCAAAGACCTCCTAAAACAAGAAATCCGTCTGGACTTACTCACCTAAGCACTCTCGATGGACGTACTTTTGAGTGCCCTTGCAGCGGCATGGTGCAATGAAATCGTGACCTGCAAGAAGAAAGAAACACATTCTCAGAGTTTCTCTTCGTTTAGACCATGGACCACCACCTCCACCATCACACAATTTTGATGTATTAAAGGTGCCGGTCTTCTAGTGGACTGGGTTACTTTTCAACTCAACTGCAAGTTCCTGAACTGAAATTATAAATAGAAAATCCACGAACTTGTGTGCCCCCATGGACATTGGCCGGGCAGTCCCCCGATGTGCGAAAGCAAGACCGGAGCGTCAAGCGATGCGCTCACAGTTTTCTGACTCGAGGCATATCCGGCATTGCATATCCTCGCTGGCCCCTGCCTCCAGGTCCCTGCTCATCACCAGGGGGGACTCTGCACCGGCAGTGCCCCGCTGGGACGCCTTGGCCAGCAGCATCATTCTGTCCCCGTCAACGTCAATTTCGCTGCCAGCTGGCGGCATTAGGAACCACCAAAACAGACCTCAAACTGGTTTATTGTCTGGTGCTTGCCCCCCGATTATCAGACACTCTACGACGGCCCACCTCACCTCCTCCCAAAAGCACCCCGCTTGCAACTTACCGCTGTCTGCAAAAAGCTGTCAGACAATGAGGGTCTCATAGCATCTTAGAGCAACAAACGTTCGACAGGGCTGCTCGTGGGTGGTCGCAAAGGGATTAGGTAGCGCCCATGCAGGCGTTGTCCATGAGTTTGAAGTGCAACACATGCTTGGAAAAGTTAAAAGCATGTTTTCTTCAAAGTGGTTCGCCCAGAGCTTGACACAAGTCTTCCCATAACGTAAGCCCTGACTCGGAAAAGTTGTACCTCAAGCTACACGTGATATTATTCTTGGTGTCCATCACCCGGGCAGCGCTGGAAACATTATCCACATAATATCGGCACTGTCGCATTTACCAACACTGACAGACAGTGGCAAGAGGCGGGTCTATCTGACTTCCCACAAGCCTCATGGCGTCTTCCACAGCTTGCTTGCGCCTCCCTTGCGCCCCAGCAGGCCTCTCTGGGCCGCAGAGCTGCAGAGGGGCCCACTTTTCCCCGCAGCGGGCAGCGCCAGCCGGCAGCATTGGGCGCGCAAGGACAGGGCTGCGGACGGTGGGCGCCAATGGGACCCGGAATGGGGGAGTGGTGGCAGGCCAGGGCAGCTTCTGGGGAGGCGCCCTGCAATTGGAGTGCACAGCAAGAAAGAACGAGAAAGTTGATCGGAGGGCGGGAGAATGCCGATGGTAGGTCCTCAGAGGACTACTGGTTGGTGCCACAGCTTCTAGAGCTTCTACGAAGCCAACTCTAAAAGTCCAATGAGGCAACGCAGCAGGGGACACCAGAGAGGACTTGTCTGACTTTGCAAGCCTGTGTGCTCTGGTTTGGCGGGTCTGCACAGACGCGATTGAGCACTGTGGGGGCTAGCAAGACTAAAAATGCTGACATCCATCTGGCGCTCTTTTCTTTCTTAGTTCTCAGTTTTCAGCCCTTGAAAGTTGTGAAGCTGTGGCCTATTGTGACCCTTACAATGAACCTGGTAATAAGTGAGCTGTTATGCTTCCCCCTTTCGGCCTCCAAGTGACGAATCGCTGTAGCATATGCGTCCAACGCCCCCTTTCATTTCTCAAGCTCTTTCGTGCTTTTCTCGGCGTCTGAGCCCCCTCATGCCTAGCTGGCCCCTGCTGTGCGCAGTGCGGGCAACGAGGATGGGGGCAAGCCCGGGCGCAGCTATAGCCTGTACGACCAGGCCAGCAACCTGCTGACCAACGTGCTCAACCCGGGGGGCAGCGGGAACATGCCCGTCGCCGAGGGCGCGGTCTCCGACCTCTTTGGCCGGCCCCTCTTCTTCGCACTCTACGACTGGTTCATGGAGGTGGGCCATAGTTATCCCCCATGTGAGGCTAAAACACACCGCAACCAGGCTTGTGCCCAATGGAATGGTCAGCACTGGACAATTGTATGGTCCTTGACCAGGTACTTGTACCCTTGATGGTGAAACCCCGTGCCTGTTTCTGACTGGTTTGTGTGTTTCGTTTGCAGCATGGCCCTATCTACAAGCTGGCGTTTGGTCCCAAGGCGTTTGTGGTTATCTCGGACCCCATCATTGCGCGCCACATCCTGCGGGAGAACACTTTTGGTTATGACAAGGTGGGCGCCGATATCCTGGATGGGGCATCCTTCTCTTGCCTTCCCGCGGTCCCTCTAAATGCATCTCAAACCTAAGGTATGTAAACAAAACGCCCCCAACCAATTGGGTCTGTTTTGCATACAATGTCGCTGGTGCTTGCGGCCTCCAGAACAATCAATTGTGGTGGGATCTGAAGTAACTTGTGGCGTTGGCAGGGCGTGCTGGCAGACATTCTGGAGCCCATCATGGGGAAGGGCCTCATTCCTGCCGACCTAGAAACCTGGAAAGGCAGGCGGCGAGGTAAGCCCCCCCCATCGTCCATGACAACGCACCATGTCAGGCAGCTATCCTCATCTCCCCTAGGGCCTTGCTTGTTCTCTCCTGCTAACGTCGGCAAGTCGGTGAGTCGCTTCTGTCGATAGTATATGAGTAACACTGCCACTATTGAGCTCTCTGGCTGCCACGAATCTGCCCCTACTTATCCAGGAAAACGAAACGAAACCCTGTTTTATTAGACCAAAGTGAGGCCATGTCTATGTGCTTTGCGCCCCGCTCTCTACTTCCGGCCGTGCCCCTGACTCTATGGCTGGCGTTGGCCTGCAGCGGTGGTCCCTGCGTTCCACGCTGCGTATCTAGAGGCGATGGTGGGCGTGTTTGGGCGGTGTGGCCAGCGCACGGTGGACAAGCTGGACGGTTTGCTGGCTGGGGCGGGGGGCGAGGTGCGCATTGACATGGAGGCAGAATACTCGAACTTGGCGCTGGACATCATCGGGATCAGCGTGTTCAACTACGACTTCGGGTCCGTCACCAAGGAGTCGCCCATCATCCAGGTATCACCACTGCCCTGCCTACAGCAGAGGAAGAAAACATGTTGGTGCCAATGGACCCGGGGTGTGGTAGCAAGTCGAAGCCGTCGAATGATTCACAACATGGTCGTACATCTGACTATCAGGAAAGTCTGACCCATTCAATTTGTAGGACCAAAGGTGGCTACTGGATTCTCTGTTGTCTTTCCAATACGTCACTCTTCATACTATCGGCACTTTTGCCAGTTCTTACAAACTCGGATGCTGACAGGCGCCTGGTGTCGTGGTATTTATTTGAGTCCTTGTCTGCGAAGTCTCGCTCTTCTCTGAGCTGCGGCGTGCGCTGCTCGCCAGGCGGTGTATGGCGTGCTGTACGAGGCGGAGCACCGCAGCACGTTCTACGTGCCGTACTGGAAGTTCCCGCCCGCGCGCTGGCTGGTGCCGCGGCAGCGCAAGTTCGCCACCGACATGGCACAAATCAACGCCACGCTCACCGACCTCATCAACCAGGCCAGGGACACGCGCCAGGTCAGTGGCCCCTCGCCACATTCTGCAACTCGGAAGCAGAGAGGTCTGCTTCCAGTCAGTCCGTCACCCTGCAGGACATTGGCTCCGGCCCGTTAAACGCAGGGTCAACATGCTGCAGCGCCAATCGGCAATGCATTGAGGCGAACTCTACGGGACTCGATGATATACTAGGCTCCCACCCTTTCTGGGAAGTGTCGAAGAGTCCGTCGAAACCATGATATCGTCCCTGCGTCGTAGGGGTCCGAGTGGATTTGGGGCGCGCCTGAGTTCTCGACAAACTGTGGTGAAGTGTGCGCATCGCAGCCGTTGCTTGGAGTTCGCGAAGTCAGGGCTGCTGTAGTCAGAGCTGACGTGTGCGAGGGTGGTGCAGGAGGAGGACCTGGAGGCGCTGCAGCAGCGCGACTACTCGAAAGTCAAGGCAAGCACCGCCACGCCCTTGCAAATCTAAGCTCTTTTATCTTGTAACTGGCTTTGTTCTTGCCAAATTCTGGGCTCGCCACAGTAGGCTCGCAGGATCTGGCAGTTGCTCTATGCACAATCAGTGTAGGACGGCCGGTCTCCGGCAGCGCTCACTCGCGGAGTTCCGGCGTGTTATTGCAGGACGCGTCGCTGCTGCGCTTCTTGGTAGACATGCGCGGGGAGGACGCCACCAACCAGCAGGTCGGGCCCGCTCCCTCAAACAGCTCACTTTTTTGGCGGCACCTCATATGCGCAGCTGTGATTGTATTGGAGGCCTTCGAGTCTTTGCCAGTCGTACTAGCATGCCGGTCAGCGCTTCGAGGTTTGGCGCTTACCTGGTGCGCCGGCCCCCATGCTGCAGTTGCGCGACGACCTGATGACCATGCTGATCGCGGGCCATGAGACAACGGCGGCGGTGCTGACGTGGGCCACCTTCATGCTCGCCCAGGTAAGGCTACCCCTTCCCTGCCCCTTGCCCCCCTTCTTTTAAGCCTCGCTTGTTGCAGCTAAGAGCAGCTTTTGATATGACCAAACGGCCACGATTTTTGCTTGTCGCAGCTAAGAGCAGGGTTCGATCTGACCAAACGGCCACGGTCTTAGCGGACCCTGATATGATTTTGCAGCCCGTGCCCTGAGTACGTTTTCCCTGGGTTGAGAATGCAGAATCCCGCGGCGGTGGCCAAGGCTCAGGAAGAGGTGGACCGGGTCCTGGGGGACCGCCAGCCCAGCCTCGCCGACATCAAGCAGCTCGAGTGAGAAGCTCCAAAAAGAGTTTGTGGCATTGCCCTAACGTAGTCAGTGTCCTTGCTCGCTCGACGAGAATATCCATTTCGGCAGTCGGGGGCGTGCAGTTGAAAAGAAGACTGCGGGTACAGGTACACAGCATGCCGGACAAGAGACCGACGGAACGATCACAACTTTTAATGCGCCTCGTGAGCAGTCCTCGCGACGTTTTGGACTATGTGACGGCCTCAGTTAGCTCCTTTCTTGGCCCTTCCTCCGCTGCTCTCCCTAAGACTGTGCGCGCGCTCTGCCTGGTGCAGGTTCATCCGGCTCATCGTCGCTGAGTCGCTCCGCCTCTACCCGCAGCCGCCCCTGCTCATCCGCCGATCCCTCCAGCCCGACACACTGCCAGGTCAGCCAATCCCCGCTCGCCACCTGTCGTCATGCCTCCATGTCATATGGTCAGCACGTTGCTTCGCCTCACGGCATTTGTCCTGCGCCCTGTGCGTCGCTCTGCTGTTTCCGCTCTGAGTTGCGCTGTTGTCGGGGTGTGGCGCAGGCGGGCACAACGGGCATCCCGAGGGGCACGCCATCCCCGCGGGGACCGACCTTTTCATCTCGGTGAGCTGCGTTCGCGATTGAGTTTCCTGTCACTTCTGCACGTGCTTCCGACAATTTATCAAACCTCGGCAGTTCCTTTTGACTCACTTTTCGATTGCAGTTCGGAAGGGTGTAGGAATGGGACGCCCGTCTCACACTGATCAGGGGCCGAAGGCTTTCATTGGCGCCTGCCAGCGGGCAACTTGGTCTCGCCTTCAGCTCCCTCTCTCCGTTCGCTTTGCTTTTGCGGCGGCTACGTCGTTCGGCCACTGAACCCTCTCGCGCTGCCCCTAGGTATACAACGTACACCGCTCTCCCTACTGCTGGAACGACCCCGAGGCGTTCCGGCCGGAGCGCTTCCAGGAGTCTCGGCCCGGCTTCGAAGGCTGGGCGGGCTTCGACCCGAGCCGCAGCCCGGGGGCCCTTTATCCCAACGAAGTGAGTGCACCAACCTAGTTCTGAGTAGAATGGGGCCCTCTTCTTGGATCACAACAGCTTCGGCCGTGTCGGCACTTAGAAGTTGACAATGGGATGAAGTCGACGCCAGCAGAAGAGCGGGGGCGAACGCAGTAATCGCTTAAGTTTTCGTTTGCGCGCACGATTGATGAAAAAGCGCAAACACAGCCGCACCCTGCTTCCCCTTGCGCGCCTTAAAGTCCGAAGGTGCCGTCGTTTGATCCAGGACATGACCAGCCGCGTCAGCAGACTCATGGGGAAAACCTGTTTTCAAGGAGATTACATATATACCCGGATGTCCCGTTTTCTCGACGTGACGGTATCCCAAGAGCCTGCCGCGGCCGTGCCGTGCAGACGATGGCGGACTTTGCGTACCTGCCGTTTGGCGGGGGATCGCGCAAGTGCGTGGGGGACCAGTTCGCGGTGATGGAGTCGGTGGTGGGGCTGGCCATGCTGCTGCGGCGCTACAACATCGCGCTGGCGGGCACGCCCGAGGACGTGCAAATGCAGACGGGAGCGACCATCCACACCAAGGACGGCCTCTGGTGTCGCCTCTCCAAGCGACAACCGGGCACCGCGGTCAAAGCTCAGGAACAGGCGGCGGTCACTGTCTGAGCAAACGGCGAGGGGAGCGCCTAGCCGGACGTCAGCTTTTTGCTCCACTAGCTGAAACACGTGGGGCCTGGTCGCCAACATGTGTTGATTGAGATTCGAAAACGATGCTTGACCACTTACGTGGAGTAGTTGCAGGTGTAGGGCGGCCAGGTAGTCACGCATACTAGCTGCCATCATTCCCCTCTAGAAAATTTTCAGCTAGCATCACTGAGGTAGGACTGAACTTGTCACAGGGCTTAGGTTGCGGGGCCTCTGGTTCACTGCAGGAAAGATTCAAGGACCCAAGGACAAAGCGGGCCTGCCCTACTTTCAAAGCGGAGGAGATCTAAGATCACCGGTGGGGTGCATTTGAAATAGCGTGGTCGTATACGCCATCGAGCGTTTTGGCCGCTCATTCATTGAATCATAGACTGCCGCATTCTCAAGGAACTGGCCGTCATGGTCGGACGCGAACGCCGTCGATATTGGGGCGTCAGTACGCTCGAGGCCATGGTCGACATATTCGGCAAAGACCCCAATGAGAACTTTAAGCCGTACGTCCATAGTATGGAATGTATAATTGGCCACCTTTGAGTTTTCTTAACCCATTTTCCTTCATGCTGTAACCGCAAAATCTCCAAGCGTGGTCGAAGTCGATGGCGTATGTGCTCCCCTTATCGTCAAAAGCCTTGATGAAGACTCTAGCTAGGTTTGCGCGATCTGCCGAATCGAAGTTGGTAGCGACAACACGTGGGTGTGCCAAGATGGTGGCGGTCAGCTGATCCATCTTCTAAAATGGGCGAGCGGAACTCTTTTGAGATAGGGGACGCAGATGCGTGTGAAATCAATGACGGCAACCTGTGGGCAGAAAAGAGCGTACGGCGGAATGGATCCTCGGACCAATGGGTGCGTGAGGATGGCAGTAGTCAGATTCGTGCAATCCATGCTCCTAGTGGCTCCCACAGAACTTCCTTATACGTCGCAATCTCCTCCGAGCGAGCGCTCCTAGCATTGAAATTAAGCCATGTAACCACTCCAAACACTCTGCGTGTAGCGCGCGCATTTTTTCATATTACCGGAAGCCTCGGCAAAGGCACGTGCACCCAATTTTATGTCAGTGGTCACATGACTTGTACGCGCCCGCCTTGAGTGAAAGAGCCGGTGCTTCTTTGAGCTTGGCCAAAGCGATCATCTCAAGGATCAAACGGCATTTTGCAAGTAGTACGAGCAATGCTCCATAAGGGACATGCAGAGTTGTTTCACGTTTCACTGTAGCCTTCAGATTGTGGGGAGATTGCTTCTACAGAAGAACCGGTGTGATTTACATTGCATCCTTAATATATATACCTTGACATCCCAGCAGAGCAGGTCACACAATGTTGTATCTGGTTTTCGAATCTCGTGACATACTTATAGAAGTGCGGAGATCGTTGGCCTAAACGTTGCATACCTGTAAAGACAGATTAGGCGGGCAAGCAATATGCTAAATAAGCGAGTTGAAAATACAGGGCTCTGAGCCCTGTCATTGGTACCCTTTTGTGAAGTCCAACAATCTCAGGCTGCTTTCAAAACTACTTGCATGGAGCTCAGGCTCCGTGGCAAATTGCTTATGGAGGTTCATGGTGTCCAAACCCATGGCCTTTTGCCTCAACTCCCCAGGATCTAGGGGTCCCTGCTGAGGACTCCTGTAATCATAACAAACAACACGATGTCGAGAATGCTACCAAAAAGGCAAAATCAAAATGTCAACTGCTCGGCTTCTAGCTCCAGCTCTGTGAAAAGATGTTAACAAACGAAGTCATATCTTATGCGTACCGTGGCTTCTTGCCTACAAGTTAGCTTGTGAAGGTAAATCCTGGATGTTTCATGCATATACTCAGCAGAGGAGCTCGCCGCAGCAACACACGCATACTGTGACTTTATCTCACCACGTCGAACGCCCAGACCCTAGCAACGGATTCAACAGCTCAATGCTTTCCCTCCAACGTTACAACAACACTCAATCTAGTTAGCACCTGATCAAGTCTGACGTTCTTGAGTAATGGGCGTGTATGGCTTTTAGGCCACTGGGGTACAATCAGCAAGAATATATTAAAGGGTCTAGAAATATATCTCTGCATGCGCGCCTATCAGAGGCAAGAATCTTCGTTCTGCTGCCCATATTTCATACCTGGCCTTGTCGAGCTGCTTCTGCAAATCATCCAACTTAGCCTGCATCTCATCATCCTCCTCCTTTACAGCTGTCTCCATCTCAGCCTAAGTGTGAAGGCGTTCTCTGAAGGAGGAAGGTACAATCATTGTTTTGCTGATGCTGCAAAGAAGATAACATAGTGGTTCAGACGTGCTTCAAGAGCAGCAGTTGATAAGAGAACGGCACCTACCAAGATCCAAAAGGTCTAAACTTCTTCAGTCACATTGAGAGCATGCGCAGTGTTGATTATGGTAAGGGTCCATTCTACGAACACCGCTTCAAACAGTTCCTTCAAGCGGAAACCCACACTACCTCCATGACTTTGAGCAATCCTCATGATGCAGCAGCAAGCACTGGTTTTAGTAAAGTCCCCAAGCCCAAGCAAGACATGGTAGCACCATTCCAGGAATTTAGATGGAGATGTGAACAAGGTAAGCCAGTTTCAGCCCTACTTTTAAACATAAAATTTGTGTAAGACTCACCCAATGTAACGGGCTCCTGTACCACCTCTATACTTAGGGCAACAGTCCCATAGGTATTCTAGGTGTATGGTTGCCAGAGTTATGCTCGACAGATGTCTAGCATATCACGTGACTTGACGTTCGCTCGCGCGCGCAGCCGCGTCCCAGCGCGTACAGTTATAGGATAGATTCCTAAGTCTTGCATAGTTTGTCAAGTAATCAGATACGTACATCTGGCTACTTGAGTTCAAACCATAACGGGTCGTAGTCCGAGTCTTGCTTGTGCACCGGTAGTGCACACTCAAACTCATAGACTGGTGCAGTGCCATCGCTCATGGAATGCACACTAGTAAGCAGGAGCCTGCTAGACTCCCAAGTGAGAGAGGGGATGGCTAAGTAGCCTGAAACCCACCAAAGGTGTAACCTTTACACCACCTCTCTCTGGGAGTTTATCAAAGTGCGCCTCTAGGTGTTTTTCAGCATTCAAGGTGCCTTCATCAGGGACTCTTAGAATTGGTGCCGTCACAATGGTATCAGAGGTCAAAGCTCCTCTTCTGTGAGCATAGACCAACAAGCTTCCGCAAGGAAATTTTGACAAGAAGTCATGGTGGTTGTTGCTAACAACCCCAGAGAAGATTCCCATGATGGAGAACTGGGACTCGATGATCAACAGCTGGGGAATTCAGCTGGAGTGTCACGATTACGACTGGTT